TCTGTATCTCTTTGAATGTTTTTAAAAAAAAGCCAGGGGGGTGCAAGTGCACCCTCTTGCACCCCGCTGCCGGCGCCCTTGAGAGAGAGTATGTTTTTGTATCGGATTTCATAACTTAAAATATCGTCTGCACTTATTAATTTGCATAATTGAAATAAACCTTTCGAACAATTCAGTTTGAGTGAGTCCTAGAATGTAAAGATCCGAAATCAATAGATCAAAAGTTATTCAGAGTGATCCGTTTTTTCATTTGCGTACTGTACATTGACAGTTCAACAAACTGATAAGCTTTAAATATAAATAATGATTAAACAGAATAAAATAATATTCAAGACTAGAAATTTAATTTAATTCCCCCCCCCACAAAAAAAGAAACTTTTATGGATAAAAAGAAGATGACAAAAGAGTTAAGTGTTCTATTTTTACATAAAAAATATTTGACTTATTTTTTGTAAAAAAAAAAACTGCCTGAAATTTCAGTTATATATATATATTTTTCAGTTATATATCAGTTACATATCCAAAACACTATTTTCTTTTCTAAATTCACTTCCCAACTCTGATATTTCAGTCAATATTGCTAACTGTTTTTCAGACTATTTCTTTCAATAGTTTTTAACCTGTTAAGTATTGAGAGCTGAGTTTGATGTAATGGGAAAAATGCATCTGATGTGTTAGTGTTTCTAGAAGGAAAATAAGAATCTTGTTAATTTTATGAATGTACCATATTCATCACACCCGCCATCGTGACCACAGGGAATGATTTAGGCCCTTAAAAGCTGATTGAAACGATTTTGCTCTAGGATAGGATGGGTTTATTCACAGTACGGTCCGTCTTTACTGCGTAATAACCCTCGGAGAGAACCATCGATTTGTCAAAACTTAGTAATCCTCGAAATGCAACACATGTGGCTCCAATCGTCATTTTTTAGGAAAAAATAGACATAAACCATTCAGTCCCCTTGGTCTTCGTATGTTTTTCACTGAATTTTTATTTGAAATGTAGAGCGTGAAAATAGGCCTGGATTAGTTTTTTCAGGAATAGTTCTCATTTTCAATATATGATATGAGATTGTAGAGGAATAAAAATGTCTTAGATTTCAACTTATGATTCCACAGCTCTGTTTTCATCAGTTATCTTTCAAATGAATAGGTATATGTATTATATTTCTTCTACCTCACACTAGTTTCTTAAACAAAAAAATTAAAATAATTTTCTTTGTAGATGATTCAGGTCAACAGTATGAAAAAGAAATTCGGGTGGAATTCTACATAAATTTAACTCTAGATTTTTTTTAAAATTAAGTATCAATTGATTTTAAATAGTAATTCGCCGTCATTAATTTTATTCAGGAAAAATTATGATACATTAATAAGTCGGAAAAAAAATGTTCACTGCACTAAAAATAAGAAAGATGTTACTTTGAATAATTTTTGTTCTTATGATTGTATTCTCACGAGCTTTGTGCCAATCTAATACTTTAAAGGGGTAACCTCAAATATGCTTACTAATTAATTATTGCTGTTGTTGTTCATTTACGTCGCACTAGAGCTGCGCAATGGGCTATTGGCGACGGTCTGGGAAACATGCCATCACAATTTTGATCCTCTGCAGAGGGAATGGCTTCCCTGCTTTGGTAGCCCGACGACCTGTGCGAGAAGTCGAGCACTTTACGGTAGAACAGTTTAATGGGGACCAATACCGCACACCCTCGGTCCCTACGCAGATTGATCCAAGTGGTCACCCACCCGCACACTGACCGCAGCCAGTGATGCTTGACTTCGGTGATCTGCTGGGAACTGTGTCTTAACGATCAGTCCACTACGGGACAATTAATTATTGCAGACGATATTTCAAGTTACGAAATCAGACGTAAAAACGTACTTTCCTTGAATCAGCATAACTTATACCCCCAACGGATTTGGCTTTTTAACTAACAAAATATTGAGCGTAGCAACAGTCTAGTTCAGATAGTTTAGTCAATAGAGCCGTTGAAAGTTTGGGTATCTTTATGTTCTTTTCGTCCAGTAGTGGACTGACCTTAAAGACCGGTTCCCAGTAAAACATCGAAGCCAAGTATCACTGGCTGCGATCAGTAAACGGATGGGTGACCACTTTGATCAGCCTGCGTAAGGACCGAGGGTGCACGGTATTGGTCCTTGTTATACTGCTCTACTGTAAAGTGGTCGACTTCGCTCGCACTTCGTCGAACTGCCAAAGCGGAGGAGGAGAAGATCAAAACTGTGATGGACCATACTCATGGATGTTTGTTGTTAACCAGACGGTCGCCGATAGCCCAATGTGAAGAAATTATATATATATATATATATATATATGCTTCATTTTAAAGAATTTAATTTTATATGACGAAACACAAAATTTGAACAAAATCGATCAAATAGTTTCTGATTTGTCCAATTTCAAAGAAGTAATTTATTTAAAATTTGATTTCTGAAGAACTATTCGACCGATTATATTCAAAAGTTGTATGTTAGCATTTAAAATTACATCTACTTATAAGATCCAACTATTTGTATGTCTTACAATTCAATAATTTTTCGACCCTTGTTAAATAAAATAATAAAAACTTAAGAATTATTTTTCACAAGGAATTCTTTGGACAAATGAAATTTATAATTATGCAAAAAAAAATTTCAATTCGCTTCGAAATTTTTCCAGATATGGCTAAATACACAGAAAGTGAAATTAATATTAAGGGGCCTAAACTCTTGACAGTTCTCGTGTAGAAACTATTGAGAACATATATGCCAGATTTCGACTATCCCCATATTTTGATGGTTGAAAATTATAATCCATTGAAAAAAAATGTATGTTCAATCAGAGAAAACCTGTTTCTGTAACTCAATTAATATTTAAAGTTCGCACTAATTAATTAGTATATTTGTGATCACCCTTTGGAGCTGATAAAATTCCCACCACGTTTTAGAAAATCTGATCCTCAGAGCAAAAGTTATTGAAAGTGATATCTTTTTTATTTTAGGCACTTTTCATGTATAAAATTTTGACCTTCAAAAGCAGTATTATAATAGAAAGAAGAAAAAAAAACATTAAGTACAAACTTTAAGAACCAATTCAATAGAGTCAAAACAACTATAGACATCTTATTTATTAGAGACAGAACTGCATAGAAACTTTTCCACAAAATAATTGAGGAAAGGAAAATATCAAAGCTAAATTTTGTGAGAAAAAATCCTTATAAATAAGTTGCTATTAATTATTATTCCCTGATCTTATCCTCTAAAAAACAGAATTTTTGTGAAGAAAAAGAAAATAACATAATTTAATAAACATAAATTATGAAGTGTCAGGAATGCAAACCCTTTTGTGAAAACTAAAATTATCTTAAAACTATTTTTGCAAAAATAATTGTTTTAAAATTCTTTTTTTTTTTCTTCGGCAGGAGCAAAAAATAAATCTAATGTGTAAATAAATCTAAGTAGTGACAAGAAAACAAAGTAAATTATTGGAATATAGTTATCAGATTTTGCAATTATAATTTTTCCTCAATCAACTATTTTTTTATTTTGAAATTTTTTTTTTCGTATTTACTTTTACAAAATTGTAATCAATTCAAATAAAGCTCAATGAACACATTACCATAAATAAAATATTACTAATGAAATTACCACATTACCATAAATAAAATAACACAAATGATTTTTCTGTCACCTTGCTTTTTCTTTCCTAGACTCTATAATTTTATACAATAAAATATAATTGGTAAACAAAATAACAGAAAAAATCTTTTCAGTTGTTCTCTATTACAAATTACTGATTTAGTTCATAAAATTATAATAATTTCGTTTCATAATGTTTTGTTTATGGCAATAGGATCTGTCTGTTACGACCTTTGGAATTTCTGAATAAGGTTAGATTAAAACTAAAAAATTCTTCAAATAATCAATCCTTTTGTTCTCAATATGTAACATAAAACAGGATATTATGCACTCTCTGGGTTTATTTTTGCCTGAAAGGTTTTCAAAATCTAGAGATACTTGAAATATAAAATGAAATTTTTTTTATTTATTCAATGGAATTATATTAGGATATTTCTGTATAACTAAATTTTAAAGTGAAGAACACTTTGTACTGGATTAGCTGGGGAGCACAGTATACAGGATAATGTAATAAAACTGTGTAAAAAGGTAGTATAAGTAAGAATAAAATATAAAGTTGATCATCTAGGTTTCATGGGTACAGTTATATTGACAGCTATTTTTTCTCCATCAAAACATGATTCTTATAGCAAAAAACTAAAATTTTGTAGGGATAATATTTTTAACATGGAAAAACGAGGCACCAGGTATAAATGAAAAGGAGTATTTTATAAATTTTTAATCAATCAGCAATTCAGCTCCACTGAGCGTCCTCTAACAGGAAGAAAGAAACATAACAATTTACATGCATATTCTCTTCAACATTGTCAGTATTAATGCTATAAGTATTGCCCAAAATAAATGCAAGTTTTTTACAGTGAGGATTTGAGCCGCAATGGCTCGGTGGTTAAGGCACAGAACTGAAGTTTGATCCCTACCCGGCTACATATTGATGGAAACCAGGTTATCTAATATGAAACGGCATGTTGAGCGCAATATTGACAACTGCGCTACAATCATGCGGTTGGGTGTGAAATTATGGAGTCTCAACCTGTATGACTCTCCCTGCGCACAGCAGGCTGTTGTAAGGAAACTTTACTTTCATTAAAGTGAGGATTAATATTTAGGAAATAAATAGGTAACTGCAAATGAAAATTTCAAAATTATGTAATCATAATTTGATACCTAGACAATTTTTATGACATTATTCTTGTATGATTGTTATGACATATACTTCACTTATAATTCCGGGACACAAAATTTGTGTTTTGTTAAAAAAATCTGCTCATTGTATGCTAGTAAGGAGATCTTATGTTGGCAAAAAAGTTCATAATTACCCTTTAGCTCTATAGGTAAAATACATAAAAAAAACCAATATCCAATTGATTTATATCTAATTTATTACTTAAACTATTTACAAATAAAATATACATCATACATAAATATTTCAAAATAAAACAATTTATTGAACATTCATTGTTTGTTTAAGTTCTTTTTTCATTTTACGTACTTGCAGCAATTTATCTTGCAATTCAGTGTAATCAGCATGCTTTTGCTTATGCTGCTCAATTTCAATTTGCAATTGAGCTTCTTGGAGGGCTAGGGGCACATTTGACTCTGCATATCTCAAGAAGTCATCTAAATCATTTTCTTCCCTTAAAATGCAGAAATGAATCATAAACGCAGCTAAACTTACGACTATAACCAGTCCTTGGATTCTTGGGGTATCATCATAATCTTCCCCAGCTGAGGTATACCTTGCTTTCCATTGGCCAGCTTTACTTGTTGAAAATTTGATTGGTTCATCCTTTTTTTCAGCTGGTGGTTCAGAACTTTGCTTCAAAAACCTTTGATGACACCTAGAAATATTTAAATAAAATACTAAGTAACCTAATAAATCTATAACCTTCAATATCATCACTACAAAACTATATTAAAAACTAATTTTATTTTATTTCTTTTTCGGCTTACTTTCGCTTTCTTTTTCTTTAAAAATCGTGCCTAGAAGTTTATAGATTTAATTAGCACGAAAGTTAAGAATGTTAACCTGAAAATCAAAAATTAAAGAACAAATATCTCTTCATCCCCCCCCAAAAAAATATGAAATATTTATTTTAATGTTTATAACTTCATTGTAACCATGTTCATTTTATAAAAAACATACACATATTAAATAAATTAATTTAAAGAGCTTAACTTAAAAATAGCCTATTTACTTTAACTATAACATGCCTTTACCATAACAATTTGTTTACAATCTTCCTGTGCCAAGTATTTTTAGCTCTTGTTTGTGTTTGTTTACATGTCTTGAAGTTGAAACAGAATAATCTATCATTATTTAACTTAAATATTAATTTAAGATTCAACTAAATATAAGTAGTTAAATCACATAAAAACATAATTTATAAAGTAAATAATAAAATTAATTAAAGTTATCATGTTTTCTTTTACCCTGACATTTTTAGCAAATCAACCAACTAATGCAATGTATTAAGATGAATTGAAATAATTTTTTATAAAATTTGAATGACCAATTTCTATTTTTTCTTGACATTACATTTAAAGTTGCATATTAATAATTTTAATTAAATGAGAGATTTATAAATCTTTTTTTATTTGATATTAAATAAATAACCGAACGCTCTTGGTATGAAAAGAATAGTCATTTTTCAATAAATTGGTATTAATCAACATTATAAAATAATGCACAAAACGGAAGGCATATACTGACAATGAAAATTTTTTTTAAAAACTATTCAAAATTTTTTATTTATTAATATTTTTTGCGTTTTCAGTTGGCTTTACTATATCAGATTGAGCAAAACACACATTTAGAAGTTCATTTCATAAAAATATTGGCTAATTAGTATCATTTGACATGATGCTATAGCTTGAGGCAGATTTATGAAAGTTAAAAATTTTCACAGTTGAGAAATTTTTTTCCAGTACTTATTCTTTTTACAAGGTATAAAAAACCAATTACCATACCAAGATACCAATGTTAGTTAACTTGATGTCTATTAAAACAGCACCTAATACCACAATACAAGTGGTACTAATAATCCATCATTGATGTCAATAATCATATAGCAATTTTTGGTATATTTTGGTTAACCAAGTGCAAGGAAATTTCGCTTTTTAAATTTTTTTATTTTATTTCATTTAATTTATTTTATGAACATTAATATTGTTCATTGTTAATAAAAAAATTTAAAAAAAAAAAAAAAAAAAAAAAAAGTTGGAAGAGCTCTACATTTCTTGATGACTTTTTCACTTGTACCCAACTAATAGAAGAGTACCATATTTTCTTTACAGTCACCAGAATCTAAGAATCACCTTTTCTCTATTAAATTTACTTTTTAGTACATAGCTATTTCAACCGCTGTTATCTTCTTACTAGTTAGTTTCATAATAGCAATAAATTTTTTAATATAGAAAGAAAGAGAATATTCAAGTTAAATTAGGATTCATTTTAGGAGAAACAATTTTCATCAATATCACTAAGAATAATAATTTCTACATAATAATAGTGTCTAACGAAATAAGAGGGAACCTATGTCAAAAAAAAGAAGTTTTTTTATTTTTTAAATTGCTTCATTCGCTTTAAAAGAGAAGATTTAATTCTTTGATGGCAAAATTAATAAAAAACTGTATGTATAATATAATAGCTATATTTAAATCTTCTATTTTTCTACTATTCCCATGCCGATTTCTCATTAATAAGAAAATCTCTTTTTTAAAGATTTTCCGTAAGAAAATAAGAGAGGCATTACTACATAAACAATATATGAAGAAATATTTAATAATAAGGTTTCAAAATTTTTGTCTAGCAATGAGATACATCAAAAAATTAAAAAAAAGAGTATTAAGATAATATGAAATTTCGCATTTATTTTAAAGATATAAATAGAAAGATTTATACATTCTTCCCATAAGAATCGGATTTCTTCTCAATAAAGGCGCAAGATTTCTGAAATACATATTTTGATCCTATGCTTTAAATATAATAAAGTGAGTTAAATTTATTACTGCTACAGTAATAAAGTTTCTTAGCATTTAAAGTAAATTTTTCCTATAAATATCGTTAAATTGTATTATATAAACAATTATATAAACAAGTATGCTTATATACAATGCCAGATATGACAGTAACGAGCTGTGACGGTTAAGAAATATTTCTTAAAAATTATCATTAAAGTTCTAAATATCAACTAATAAAATGTTTTTTTATTAATATGATTCAAATAATTCCATATAAATTCAAAAATTTGATCTACAGTGTATTATCAAAAATTAAAATCGACAAGTATTTGAAAATGGAAATGGCAACTTTTCTGTAGCGCGCTTTTATTTGTTTGTATACAAATAAGGTCTTAGTTTCTAATTTTTCTTTCTTAATAAACATTAATTAAAATATGCTATTATGAAGTTTCTTTATTAACTTTTTTTATTCATAAAAGCAACATGCTATTCCGAATTTACATTTGCTTTTGTATTTATGTGCGTTTCGGATCAAGTAAGAATTCATGTTAAGAAAATTTTTGAACTTCTCTTGCATACAAATAAACAAAGTTGAGTGTTGGAGAAGTCAATTTAACTATGAAAAAGTTTTCTCTCAAATCAAATATTCTACAAAATCTAATAAAATGGTACGAGTGCTAAATGTAGCTGAAAAAAATGATGCTGCTAAAAGTATTGCAGAAATTATGTCAAGAGGCAGTGCTAGACGTCGAGATGGACGATCTGTTTATAATAAAATATATGAATTTGACTATAATCTATTTAATCAACGTTGTCGAATGGTTATGACATCTGTATCGGGTCATCTTTTGAATTTAGAATTTACTGGATCTTACAAAGCATGGTAATACTGACTACGATTTAAATATGAAATGAATCTTTGTTGTGATTACTAAGCATGAATTGTATTAATAAATGTATTTTTATTTTATCAAATATATGTATAAAATTTTTTTTTTAAGTGAAGGAAGTTTGACGTATATTTTTTTAAGTCTTTTAATGTTAATACGGTGAAAATTTATTATCAGGGCTTACTTCTTATTTTTGGCAATTTTTGAGAGGTTTTTTTAGCTTCTTTTGTTCCCACTTCTTGAAAGTTGTCAAGACTTGGCAATCATTCTACTGCAGTTCACGATATGGAAATCGTCCCATCAATTGTGTATATAAATAAGTTTTTTTTTTTAAATATTTACTACATGTTTAAGGGCCTTTAATTGTTTTTTTTTTTTTTTTTTTTTNTTTTAATTTTTTTTTTTTTTTTTTTTTTGTGGGTTTCTTTATAGTTGGGTATAGTATTTTATTACATTGTATAAATTTTATTAGTTTTTTTGTGTTCTAAATAGAAAAAAAATTTCCTTTTTTGCATAAAATTATCAATGTAGATTTTTAATGTGTGATTAAACATCTTACTATATGAAAATTTTGCTTCCTCGTAAATCTATAAAACAATTAATGAGTAAGTAAAATATTGTATATCCCAGTGCTTAAGTCATCCACCCTATTTTTGATTTGGAAACTGCAAATTTCTAGTATGTAATGAGTATTAGTAGACTGCTTAAACAAGCTAGCATAAAAATTTCTGAAATGAAAAAAAAAAGAAAAAAAAGTGAAGTTAAGGGTGCTAACTTACAGCCCCCGGGCAAAACGTGTCCTGCCGATTATTTATGTGTCGAACATGAAAACTTGTGAACACAATGAAAAGAAAAAAAGGAAATTTTTTTTGAGAAATAAACAATTTACAAATTTTCAATTTCATATTTGAGTCATCGCTTTTCGATGTGCTCAATTTTTTCATATTCTTTTGTAAATATGTTATTCGATCGCTTTTTATATGGGAATTAATTTAGAATTCAGCATGATTTTATAAAAACTAATATTTTTTATATGATATTACAATAAGCGAATTTCAAATTTGAGTTATGACTCATTATATTTGTTCTGATTTCGTTATATTTTTGTATGATATTACAATAAGCGAATTTCAAATTTGAGTTTTGACTCGTTATATTTTTTCTGATGTCATCGGAAATACGATCATTTTTAGATCTTTTTTTTGGCAGTTATAACTGTATTTTATTCTATAAATTTTTGATAAAAAGGGAAAGTTTTTTAAAAAGAAAGTATCTGTTTTTTAATTTTTGAATAAATTCTAATAGTTAGTGCTGAGAAGACTAATGCTTATAACAAAATTATCTTATTTGCCGTCCACATGTCTAAATTCTCATATGACCATTCGATATTCAACCTACTATGCAAGTGACCGTTCACTCAACAGTGTTGTACCACTCTATAAAATTAAGTTTTCAAAATTTTCCACTTTGAAAATATTTCACATTGTTCTCTCTGGATAAAATTTTTAGTTTTCAAATAAAGGCGCTATGAGTTACCGCTTAAAAAAAAAGGTGAATTTACAAATAGTGTGAGACAACCAGTTAAGCTGAAGAAAAAACCCTTACAAAATCAGGAAATATCGAAGCTGCTCATATAGTCACGTCATGTGTTAAATGATACTTGATGTGTGTGCAAAAATGTGGGATCAAATTTTATTGTAAAATAAAATTTTATTGTTTTAAAAAATGTAGAATTTTTAATTCTTTGGACTGGATTTAAGATGATTTTTTCTGACATTCAACAGAGGAGGATAAAATAGAATCCATTGCAAAGTGGTATCCATATGATTACACTACTGATCTTATTGATTCCAACACAGATGATGTCCAGGAATCTTTAAATTTATAGCTTTAAATACCATAAAAAGTTTTTATTCTGTTATAATATTTTTTTAAAAAATACTATTGAATAAATTGTCATAACTTTCTTTTTTTTTCTCTCTGAACATAATTTAAAGTATCGTTTCTAAAAAAAACTGTATGTGTAAAGAAAATATGATGAGAGATAATGTTTATTTAATTGTATATAGCATATTAAAAATAGTTTTTGAAAGCGGTAAATTAATAAAGAGTTATACATATCTATCTTGTTGTTCATAATACATCAATATTTCACAAGGTCACGATTTGAGGAGACGCCCTGATTTTCATAATATTTTGGGGGTTTGGAAATCGACTTATACTCCAAGATATGCAATGTATTTTTTTCCTTAGATAACACTGATTCAATCTGAAATATTTTCTAATTTGAAGAACTTTAAATATGTGATTAATGTGTTTTTTAAAATTATTTTTTAAGAAATTAAAGCATTTTATAGCACTCCAGGGAGTGATCTTTATTTTCTTATGTAGTATACTGATTATTTTTAAGTTCTTAGCTCTTGTAATGTTATCGGTATAAGTTCTTAGCTCTTGTAATGCTCTTGTAGTGTTATCGGTTTAATGTTGCACTAATGGAAGTTATAATTTTTATTTTTCTGTTACAGGCAGGCATGTGATCCTATAACTTTATTTGAAGCTCCTGTTCAGAGAATGTGCTTGCCAGATTATGAACCAATTAAGGTTTGTATTTTCTATATGCCAATATAAAGTATAAATAATTTGTAAAAGTTGTAATCTATTTGATTTTTATAATTTATTAAAATCTCTAACTCAGGGATTAGAGCGCTCGCCTACCAATAAGGTGACGCAGGCTCAAATCCCATCGATGGTTGGTTGATACGAATTCCGTACCTGACTCGCATCAACCTTTGTGCTGACGTAAAAATATCCTCAGTAGTAGATGGATCATGGGTTAGAGTTTCCTCGTTTCCTTCTTCGTGGTTTCCTTCTCCATGTATGAATTAGTTCCATCAAAAATTCCTCCACAAAGGCAATTTTCTTCCAATACTTCTACAAATTGTGGCTTTACAATCTTTTTCAGAAAATGTCAATAGTGAAATAAGTTTAGCTTTTGGGTCTGAAATGAATTTAGTTTTTGTGTAAATTAATCATAACTTAGTCATTCCTTAGGGTAACAATGGCAACTTACGTGCCATATTGGTCAAAAGCATAGGCGAGGGTTGGAGGAAAAAAAAGTTATGAATTTAGTTTTTGAAGTATATGTATTCTATTTTGGAATAAAGAACATTTAATGCTTGTAAACTTTGCTTTCTTTAATAAAATTAAATTATTGTTTTTTTTTCCAACTTTCTTTATAGAAAAATTAATTTTAGTATCTTTTTCTTGTATATAAATTACATACATCTTTAAGTTTTAAATAATTTCATTTTTTAATTACCATTTGTTTCAAACATGATTTAGCTAAAGAAAATTTTTGTTAAAAAAATTGAATTGTTGAAATCTTTTGGCATCCTAAATTAATTTCTCTGCATTTAAGAATTTCAAAATTATAATTTAAGTGTTTTAACATATTTTATTAAAAATTTTTTGATTCTAAATACATAACTTTTTACTACTAGTTTATAGTTGACTGCCCATTGACCCTTCAACGGCTGCATTTCATCCTCATACTGCAGTTTGTATGCCACTACTTAAATGATTAACTTTCATCAAAATATTTATTTTGTAAATGTAGGAATATAATTTTTCATTTAATTCTATTTCAAACTATTTCTGTTTAACTCTTTTTTTTTGTTACTGAAACTAAAATTTTTCATTAATTTTATTTTAGCGTACTTTAGAAGCGGAAGTACGAGGTTGCCAGTACTTAGTTATTTGGACTGATGGTGATAGAGAAGGAGAAAATATTGGATTTGAAATTATTGAAGTCTGTACTAAAGGTATAAATACATAATATTTTGTATGCAATTTTTTTTTATAGATTTTGATATTGTTGGATATAAAAAGAATAAATTTTTTATATTAAAAAAGTAAAGTAATTCATCAAAAGCCAGATGTGGGCCAAGGTCAACGTTAAGGCTTCAAAACTTTTAGACCAAAAGCATAAGGGTAACAAGGTGGTCAACACTAAAAATCAGCATTACTTCCCAGCCAAGCTGGTACCGTTAATTTGAGGCTCAATACGCTTCTACCTCATCCCGGGCACTAAGCCTTGGATTTCTTTTTAATGGCAGCACACTTCATCGCTCACAACTTTTTAATCATTATACATATTTTTATTAGTAATATTTTATTTGTATTATTTTATTGGAATAATTTTTTTGTAACTCAGCTTTAATTTTTTTTATTGTTTCAGTAAAAGATCTATATTACACAATTCTATAAACCACAATTCTGCATAAACCACATTAACTTTGCAAGTGTAAACAATGAAACTTGCAGTTAAGAAATTTCTGTAACTAGGCCAAAACTATTAACTTTTTATGTTATTTGTTTTATTTACTGAGAGGCTTAAATCTAAGTAATTAAAAACTAAACTAAGTTTATTAAAAATCTAGGTTAACTAGAATTGATAAACTTGTTTGTTATTAACTCGAATCCTGTAGGAATTTTAAAATTTTTTTTGGAAATAAGGAATATTTAAGTGCTTGTTTTTCTGTTTGAAAGTATTTGTATCTAAAAATTTTTTAAAAGCATTGATTTGTTCCTGACTAATATTGCCATTTTTAGTGGGTAAGTTTGAAGATATGTGAAATGATCTATATAACAAAAAAGTATATTAAACTAAAAACCTCACACTTCAGGGTTTGCATTCTAAAAATCTTCTACTATATAATCTTTAATTTTTTTAAAAATTTATACCAAGAACAAACTTAATAGATAAATTATAAACTTCAGTGTAGTGATGCTCAAAGGAAAACATTTTTGAAAAGTTTGAGATAAGGAAAACTTAAATATTAACTATTAATTTTGTCACTGAGTTGCAAAAAATATTTATTTTCTATTCTTTACAGTAATGTCCTGTTTTTTTAGGTATTTTTTTCCCATCTCATAATGCTTAATTTTTAACGTAATTTTTTGCTGGAAAAAATTACCTTTAAGAATACCAGTTCAAAATGTATCTTATCTTTATAAATTCATCATCAGTAGCATGACCGCCCAGGATGGGCCAAGGCTTTCCCTTGAAGAAATTTTCAATTGTTCTCCAGATCTTAACCTTTAGGATTCCAAAATTTCTTTACTCTGTCTATCTATCATAGTTTAGGTCATTCTCTTTTTAGTTGTCTTTGCAGTTTTGCCAAAAAGAGTCTTTCTACAAGTTTTAAAACATGCATAGCATAATTTAGTTTATTAATCTTGGTAAATTTTATAATTTAAAACTTTTATAATTTAAAACTTTTATAATTTTCTGTATTGCACTGCTGTTTGCAACAAGAATTTTCTTTTACTATTCCACCTAGAATATCTCTTAAAATATTTTGATCAAATGTATTCAAATGTGTTCATCAGATTTTGCATTAATTTAATACATATATTCATACTTTTTTTAATTTATAGTGCAACCCAACATTCAAGTATTCAGAGCAAGATTCTCTGAGATCACCCATCAAGCAATTACCCGAGCTTGTTCAAATCTTGCTCCACCTGATAAGAGAATGAGTGATGCAGTAAATGTCCGCATAGAACTTGATCTTAGAATAGGTAAAGTAATGTAAAATTGCTTAAGCATTACCCTACACTATTGTCATATATTTTTTAAAAAATATATTTAAGCAAAGTATGTAAGGTTTCACTATGTTCAAAATTAAGGAAATCACTTTAAGTCTATGAGAGTAAAATTTCATTTTTAACCATAGTAAATTTTAGCTAAGATGAAATAAATTATTGCTGAATAAAATTTCCATTTTAGACAATATTCTATCGTATATAAACACACATTTTTAAATATTTAAACATTTTTATAAAACTTGAAAAGAAAAGATAATTATATTTTTTCTAATTACTAAAGTAAATGTTTCATTACAATTTGTACAATAAGAAACATATTTTCTTGTCTTTGGTTTGAAGCTTGAATTATATTTTAAAGCAAGGTAATTTATTAATCAGTGTTTGCTTTTGTTTTTCTATATGCATATAAATGTAATGAATGTAATTTTTTATGTTTTATAAAACTATGTATTTTAAGTGACGAAATACAAAGTTTGAATAAAATTGGACAAATAGTTTTTGGGAAATAAAAATTTAAAAATGCATCTTTTTGATATTTTATTCCTCAATAACTATTTAATTGATTTTAATTTTCATATTTTGTTATTTATAATTTGATAGTTAAAATGATGTAAAGTAATTGAATACTTTACAATGCAAATTTTTAGAACACTATTAAATAGTAAGGAATAATTTTAAAAACATAATTTTTTCCATGGAATTACCTCTGGATGAACTAGTCTTATAACTGAGTGCTAAAATATCCTGATCCGTTTAAACGGTTTGTGAGCTGTAGCTAAATATCCCAAAAAATAAAATCCAAATTTAAAGGGTCTTATTATTGCCCTTCTGATTAAATTATGAGGACCACGGTATCCAGATTTTAACTGCCCCTTTCCATATTTTAAGGTAAAAATTCTAAATTTTACAGAAAATAAAGTATGTTTTCAGAGAGGAAGTACAGACATAGGAGCAGTTTAACCCTTCAAACCATAAAGAGATTTTTTTTTCCCAGCTCAATGTACCTAAAATGTGTTCAGTTTATTATTAAGTTTGTGAAAAAAAGTTCTGCAAACAACTTTAAAACAAATCTGAATGGTTATTAAAAGAATTAATGAATGTATAATTCATGTTTAACATAAATATACTTTTATTTTATTGCATTCATTATGATTAATGTCACCAAATATCGCAGATTTCCATATTTTTAGTCACAATATACCAAAAAAAAAAAAAAAAAATGCATTTTAAATATGTATTTTTATGTAAAAAATTATAAAATCAATTCTTTTTTTTTTTTACATGTAGGTGCTGCATTTACTCGATTTCAAACTCTCAGATTACAAAAGGTTTTTCGCGAAATATTAAGTAATCAACTCATAAGTTATGGAAGTTGCCAATTTCCTACATTAGGTTTTGTTGTTGAAAGATACAAACAGGTTCAAGCTTTTATTCCTGAAGCTTTTTGGAAACTTAAAGGTACATTTCTGTTTACGTCTGTCATTTGATTATTTTATATGTGTGCTGAAATTAATTGTTTGAAATTATTCTACACACTTCAAGTATATATATATCTAATATTTTTTAATTTAAACAGAATATTTTCAATACCATATTTATTTATTTAAACAAATTTATGAACTATTTCAAAATATTATGAAGCTTATCTATATTTACAAGGATAATATATATACAAGGATATGTTTAAGAAAAACTATAATAAAAACCGCTTTTATTTTTTTCCTGTGTTGTTCAAATTACTTTTAATTATTATTATTATTTTTTTTTAATTTCAATTCCTTTTTTTTAAAAGTTTTTTTGTAACATATGATAAAGGTGACATTATCACTAAATTTAAATCAGTTTTGTTTGTATGTTGTAAAGTATTTTATTATTATTACTGTTTTTTTTGTCAAAGCTTCCTTAACTTTATTTGTGATGCATAAAAAAGAGTTTAATATTAATACATATATANTTATTTAGTTTTATTTGTGTATTGCTCATATCATTTTATCATTATTATTTTTTTAAACTTTATTTCAAGGTTTATTTAAAACAATTTTTATTTAAAATTTATTTTATTAGTGACACATAAGAAAGAGGATGTAGTGACAGAATTTAGTTGGAAGCGTGGTCGTTTGTTTGATCATACAGCTTGTTTAGTTTTATACCAAGTTTGTTTAGAGGTAATATGATGGGAATCATTAATTAAAATTGTCTAACTGCATTCAAATTTCATGTTTAAATTTTTTTTTGTCTCTATTTATTAAAGGAACCATCAGCTAAAGTTATTGATATAAAAAGTCGTAATAAAAGCAAATGGAGACCACAACCTTTAGATACAGTGGTAAGTAAGATAAGCTTCATTGAAAGTTTTTAAACTACGCTTGTTTTTTTAGATACTGACTTCTTGCAATAGCTATTAAAAATTTATTTTATTTAGAATAATGGTGTGAAAAGATATCTTTCTTACATACCAAGAAAAAATGAAGAAATAAATAATCTAACTTCAGAATATGTGTTTTCTTAATTAAGCTATTAATAAAACTTGAAGGCGAAGAAAGGGGGGCTAAAAATTTGAGGAATCGGGATATAAGAATAGCATAGTTATTAAACAAAATTATTAAAAATCACTTAAAATTCCAGAAAAGAAGCACCTGTTAAAGGAAGCCTTGTTAGTGTTCTAGAAAATAATCTGTTATATCTGGTCACATTAAAAGGAAAAAAAACCCAACTTGCTTACAATCATGTTACAAAATTGGGGTTCGGTTATGATTTAGTCAAGTTCTAGTGGGTCATGTTGTAGTTTTTCCCCTCTTTATTTGAAAATAGAGAAATTAACTTTCATTTTAAAAATTTTTTTGGAATTGAAATCTACTTCATGGATTGTATTTTACATTTGTTTTTATCACTTGTCTTATATAGTATAATTTAACTCTAAAACAGTTACTTATAAAGTGTAAGTTAGAAACCAATTAAAAAGAGTGTCTAAGTCTTAGGCACAAAAAGCCCATGTGATAGTCAAGCTCTGTATAAAGTAGCAAAACACTGTCTTTAAAGAGTCACAAGGAGATACTGTCAGCGACTTTAGGCATGTTTTTTTAATTAATTCAATATTTTTCAACCTATTTTAAATGGCTTATTGTGTATCCTCTTCATTCTTCTTGGACATAATTTTTTTTTTTGAAATTTTAATTTGCCTTTTTTTTAGGAATTTGAAAAATTAGCATCAAGAAAACTCCGCATCAATGCTAAAGAAGCTATGACTGCTGCCGAAAAATTATATACTAAAGGTTACATAAGTTATCCTAGAACAGAAACTACTATTTTTCCTAAAGAGTTGAATCTAACATCTTTAGTTGAAATGCAGAGTGAAGATCCTAATTGGGGAGGTATTTTTTTCTTTAATTTTTCTCGAAGTCTTTTTGCTCATATATATTTTGTCTTAAATGCAACTATTTAGGTTATTTCTTAAAAATACTCTCTCTCTTTATTTATTTATATATATAAATATATATATATATATATATATAGTGAAATCTTGATTATTTGGAATGCACGGGAATCGGAAAACTCTGGATATGCAAAAATTTTGGATACTTGATCACCAAAAATCTCGATTTTAAAAATTACCTTATTTTCTAGAAGTAAAGACCTTCATGAAAGGGAGAAAAAAAAATTTTGCAAACAAATTTAATAAAAATAATGATATAGGTGAAAAAACTATAATAGTTGTTTATAAAAATAACTAAAGATAAATAAAAAAATTATTAACGACAAATAAAAAAAAACTGAGGATCATCACAACTTTCTGAACTAAATGCTTGTTTATAATTTAATGAAATTAAAGAATTGGATCTGTATTTTACTGTGCATTTTTGAATGCTCCAAAATGGGGGGGATAGGTATATTTCCAGTTACTTGAGCTTTCTGGTTAGCTGAATATTGGCTAACTAGGCATTTACTGTATATTTATGTAAATTGTAAAAATGGGCAAAGTTATATTTAGTGTATATGTTTTTGTATTGTGCAAATATTCATTTGATGTGTTTATTCTGAATGCTAACTTTAAATCTTTCCTGCAAGCTAAACAGATCAAAGACAAGATTTTGTTAAAAATTTTCACAATATAATAAAATACTAAAATGATATACACAAAAATGCTACTATAAAATATTACAATGACAACCAATGTGAGCATTTGTGCCTTTAAAAACTTGTGCCACTTTTGAAGCATTTATTAGTAATTAAAATTATGAAAACATTGATGTAATACAAAAATATTTACCTAGGTTAGCTTTGTATACCATGTATATGTTAGCATTGTATTTATATATTACTTATCCATTTCCAATATACACACTGAAAAGCAAAATAGCTTCAGAATTGGATTTTAAAGAAGAAGGAAAAAAAGTGGAATTTTTTAAATCTTTGTTAATATTTTTAGTTTATCCTATTTTTTCATAGCAAAAACAAATAATTCATAAATATTTTTTGTTTAAAGTTAAATATTTATAATTTAAATAAGTATATTTTAGAAGTTTTTAATTATTAAATTACTTTTCAGCTTTTGCTAATCGTGTTTTGGAATGGGGACCTAATCCCCGGCAGGGAAAGAAAACTGATAATGCCCATCCTCCAATTCATCCTACTAAGTACATCAATACACTACAAGTAAGATGCATTTTGTATTATATTCACTAAGCTTCTTTTTAAAATTGTTTTCAGTTTCTTATGATGTATAGCTTTATAAACTAATAATGCTTTGAGTTTATTTAGTTTTTTCTGCTAGATTAGTTTATAACATTTACTGCCCTTACATGATTTCTCTCAAAATTTTAAATTTAGTCGCCAAAAACCTAAAATGGTTGTTCTATAAGGATTGTTTTCTTTCTTTTTTACTTTTTCTTGTGTTCATTGGAGTGTTCTTTCTTTCTTTTTTTTTTTTTAAGTGCATATCATAAAGTTTAGACAATTAATACTTTCTTCAATCTTTGCTTGTCTCAACAACTTTTATGATGTTACATTTGTTTTTTTATCACTTTCATATTATGAATAATTAATCAAAGTGAATCTACGTTTTTTATACTCACACACTGAAAACAAAGAACATGAGACACATCCTTTATATAATAATCTCGTTCTTCTGCCCTATGCTTATCAGTTTTTGTCTGACAAAAAAAGAATTATGTTCTCCTTTTTAGACCACTAGAGAAAGGTAATTCTTAAAATTTTTATTCTATTTCATTATTAAAGTATCTAGAACAAATAGTATAACAAAATGTTCCACTTTCATGTAAAGTAAGCATTTTCTTTATTTATATTTAACGATCACAATTTAAACAAAAAAAAAAAAATTCAGTTTTATTTAGTTATTTTTATTATGAGAATTTTTATATTTTTTTTTAAATTTCTTCTTGTATTATAGTTTTTTTTTGTGGGGGGATTATATTTTAAGCAAATGTATGTTATAAATTTATATAAATTATATTGTTTATTACAAAACTCATGCATTGTAGGGTAATGAAAAGTCGGTTTATGAATTGGTTGTTCGCCATTTTCTTGCTTGTGTTTCTAAAGATGCAGAAGGTCGAGAAACTACAATTGAAATTGATGTTAATGCAGAAAAAGTAAGCTGCATTTGTTTTCTTTATTTACTCTAACTGTCATTTTTTATTTAATTTTTATTACTGTTTTCAATTACAATTTAAAAAATTCAACTATATTCTCTTCTTTATTCCTGTATCGCATGCCTCTAAATAATATTATTCAAATCGAAACTTAGAAGTATTAATTGTTTTTATTCTTTAAAACATCTTGTTTTTAGGTTTCCCAGTATTTTATGCTTTTTTTTAAATGTTATTTCATATATATTTTTGATTTAAAAGGATTTATTATCAGTAATCACCATGGTCGACTTTCTTTAACCATGTAACTACAACATTAATATGTTTTTATGTAATTACATCAATTACCTGCTATAATCTAAATAATTATAATTTAGATGTTTCATTAAATTTATCAAAAGTAATAAATGTTTGTTTCATTATTTTTAGTTTGCTGTAAATGGTTTGATGATCATAGCAAAAAATTACCTAGATGTTTATCCATATGAAAAATGGAATGCTAAGGTAATTTTTAACTTAACAACTTGCAATAATTCTTATGTAGTATTATAAATTATTTGATTATTCGTTTTAAATGTGTGCTTTTTCTATTAAATATGTGCTTTTTATATTGTTAAAAGCATGTAGTATTAAATTTTATTTGGCAATCTTTTAAACACATATTATTGGTATAATTGTACTTTCCTCTACTGTTAAGAGAAATACAGAGTTAGAAAATTTTTCATTAAGAAAATATTATTGCTTTCAAGTTTTGTTTTATGTTAAGAGATTTTTAAATTCTTTTTTTTAATGCTAAAAGAGAAAGAAAAATTTGATTGCAAAAGCTATTTGATATATTTTTAAAATACATTTTTGGTTCTGAAATATTTTTATTCCATTTTATAGTTGCCAACTGTTAGAATTTTTATTTATTTATTTTATTCGATATTCTTGAATTAGTTTAAGCTCAAACTCTCATATAGTAACTAAGGTCCTGATTTTTTTTTCAATCAAAAATGAGTAAAATTTCCTAAAAAAGAAAATTCTGCAACTGATTCTTTTTTAGAATCCAGGAAAATGAACTCTAATTTTTGAGCAGTTAAAGAAAGATTATCAAGAACCAATTTATAGATCAATATAAAAAAATTGCTTTTGTAATCACAAAGCTTGAAAAAGAAAATGTTCATCTAATGGTTATGTTAAAATAAATATAATAAACTTCTCTTTAGATTTATAGTGCAGTTTTTTAATGTTTAAACATGATTTCGTGGCATTCAGTTTCGTGAAACAAGCACAAAAGTTACGTTTAATTTACTGTAAACTTGCTTATCACATAAAAAAGTTTTTTTTTTAAGGTTAGAAATTACTAACATTTTAAATAATGAACTTTATTTAAAAAAAAGGAAAAAAAAAAGCTATAAAGTGATAATGAATTTGAAAGCCCTTGAGTGTCACCTTCAATTTAAATTTTAAATTGTCTGATTAACTAGCTAAAAATAATTAACTTAATAATATATATATATATTTCATACTTTTTTTA